TGATGGACTCACTGGGGAATGTAGCACTGGCAGCCCAAGTTTCCGGTACTAAAACTGGCTCTACTGGGGCTATGTCAGGTTCCAACTGATCGATTGTGATCGGGGTCTCTCTAGTCAGGGATGCAGACGTTTCTTTGGCCAACAGCAAGCCATCAGAATGCTCTGTTGCCTCTTTGGTGCCGGGGCAAAGATATTTTGGAGACAGTGCAGAATGGAGAGTGACCAGTTATTGTACACGTTGGTATCAATGACATAGGAAGAGAAAAGAACGAGGTTCTGAAGAGAGAATATAGGAAATTAGGCAGGAGTTTAAAAAGTAGGTCCTCAAGGGTATCAATATCTGGATTATACCCAGAGAGTAGGAATAGGAGGATAGAACAGATGAGTGTGTGGCTGAGGAGTTGGTACAGGGGGCAGGAATTTGCATTTTTGGACCATTGGAATCCCTTCTGGTGTAGAAGTAACCTGTATAAGGACATTTTGCACCTGTATTGGACGGGGACCAATATCCTGGTGAGGAAATTTGCTAGTGCTACTTGGGAAGATTTAACCTAGTAAGGAAAGGCGGGGTGGGATGGGGGTGGTATCCAAAGAGATATTGAGAAAAGAGATGAGTCTGAGACTAATACATTTGAGAAGTGGTGCAAGTCAAACAATCAAAGCAGGCAACAGCAAGGCAGAGAATGAGGTAAGACTGATAAATTAAACTGCATTTATTTCAATGTATGAGGCCTAACAGGTAAGGCAGATAAACTCAGTCCGTCGTTGAGAACATGGAACTGGAATATCATAGCTATTACAGAAATGTGGCTGAGGGGAAGATCAGGACTGATAGCTTAATGTTCCAGGGTATAGATGCTATAGGAAAGATGGAAAAGAGGCAAGAGAGGAGAGGCAGTGGAGTTTTTGATTAGGGACAAAATTACAGCTGTACTTAGGCAGGATATTCCTGGGAGTACATCGCTGAAGTTATTTGAGTGGAACTGAGAAATAAGAAAGGGATGATCTCTTTGTTGGGATTGTACTACAGGGATCCCCAATAGTCAGTGGGAAATTGAGAAGCAAATTTGTAAGGAGATCTCACTTATCTGTAAGAATGGTAGGGTAGTAGTGGTAGGAGATTTTAACTTTCCAAACATAGACTAATGATCAGGGCTTGGATGAGAAGAATTTGTCAAGTGTGTACAAGAAAATTTTACTGTTCAGTGTGTGGATGAACCTACTAGAGAAGGAGCAAAACTTGACCTTCTTGTGGGAAATAACGCAGGGCAAATCACTGAGGCGTCAGTGGGGAAGCACTTTGGGCTTGTGATCATAATTCTACTGGTTTTAAAAATGTAACAGAAAACCATAGACCTGATCCAAAAGTTAAAGTTCTAAATTGGAGGAAGGCCAATTTTGACGGTATTAGGCAAGAATGTTCAAAAGTTGATTGGGAGCGTATATTCACAGCTAAAGGGGTGGTTGGAAAGTGGGAGGCCTTCAAAAATGAGATGAGAATCCAGAGGCAGATTTCCTATCAATGTGAAAGGCAAGGCTTGTAGGTGTAGGGAATGCTGGATAACTAGAGAAATTGAGACTCTGGTCAAGAAAAAGAAGGAAACAGGTATGGATGGCTGCGATTGAGTGAATCCCTCAAAGAGTATCAGGGCAGTAGGAGTATACACGGGAGGGCAAAAAGAGGATATGAGATAGCTTTGCAAATAAGGCTAAGGAGAATCCAAAGAGATTCAACAAATACATTAAGGGCAAAAGTGTAACTAGGGAGAGAATAGAGCCCCTTAAAGATCAGTACGGCCGCCTATGTGTGGAATTGCAGGAGATGGGGGAGATACTAAATTAATACTTTGCGTCATTATTTACTGTAGAGAAGGATATGGAAACTAGAGAACTCAGAGAAATAAACAGTGATATCTTGAAAAGTGTCCATATTACAGGGGAGTAGGTGCTGGATGTCTTAAAATGCATAAAGGTGGATAAATCCCTGGGATCCGATCAGGTGTGTCCCAGAACTTTATGGGAAGTTAGGCGAGTGATTGCTGGGCTCCTTGCTGAGATATTTGGATCATTGATGGCTGTGAGTTAGATGTTGGAAGACTGGAGGGTGGCTAATGTGGTGCCATTATTTAAGAAAGGTAGTAAGGAAATGCCAGAGAAATATAGACCGACTAGCCTGATGTCAGACGTGGGAAAGTTGCTGGAGGGGATTCTGAGGGACAGGATCACATGTATTTGGAAAGGTAAGGACTGATTAGGGATAGTCAACAAGGCTTTGTGTGTGGAAAATCGTGCCTCACTAACTTGAATGAGTTTTTCAAAGAAGTGACAAAGAAGATTGATGAAGGCAGAGCAATAGACGTTGTCTGTGTGGACTTCAGTAAGGCGTTCAACAAGGTTCAACAAGGTTCCTCATGGTAGACTGGTTAGCAAGGTTAGATCACATTGAATCCAGGAAGAGCTAGCCATGGGGATGCAAAATTGGTTTGAACATAGGAGATAGAGGCTGGTTGTGGAGGGTTGTTTTTTGGACTGGAGACCTTTAACCAGCAGGTTGCCGAAAGGATCAGTGCTGGTTCCACTGCTTTTTGTCATTTATATAAATGATTTGGAATTGAATATTGGAGGAATAATTAGGAAGTTTGCAGCTGACACCACAATTGGTGATGTAGTGGTCAGTGAAGAAGGTTATCTCAGCGTACAACGGGTCCTTAATCAGATGGACTGAGGAATGGCAGATGGAGTTTAGATAAATGTGAGGTGTTGCATTTTGGTAAGGCAAATCAGGGCAGGACTTGGCACTTAATGGTACGGTCCTGGGGAGTGTTGCTGAACAAAGAGACACTGGGGTGCAAGTTCATCGTTCCTTGTAGGTGGAGTGACAGGTGGACAGGGTAGTGAGAAAGGCGTTTGGTATGCTTGCCTTTATTGGTCAGTGCATTGAATGTAGGAGTTGGGATATCATGTTGCAGTTGTACATGACATTGTTTAGGCTACTTTTGGAATACTGCATTCAATTCTGGTCTCCCTGCTATAGGAAAATGTTGTTAAACTTGAAAGGGTTTGCAAGGGGTTGGAGGGTTTGAGCAATAGACAGAGAATGAATAGGCCGGGGCTATTTTCCCTGGAGCATTGGAGGCTAAGGGGTGACCGTATAGATGTTTATAAAATGATGATGGGCATGAATATGGTGAATAGTCAAGGTTTTTATCCCAGGGTAGGGGAGTCCAAAACTGGAGGGCATACGTTTAAGGTGAGAAGGGAAAGATCTAAAAGGAATCTAAGAGACAACTTTATCACACAGAGTGTGGTGCATGGGTGGAATGAGCTGCCAGAAGAAGTAATGGAGACTGGTACAATTACAACATTTAAAAGGCATCTGGATGGCCACTTGAATAGGAAGAGTTTAGAGGGTTATGGGCCAGATGGAACCAGATTAAACATATCTGGCCAGCATGGACGTGTTGTACCAAAGGGTCCGTTTCCATGCTGTACAGTTCTGTGATTTTATGACTCTAAAATATGGCTAGAGAACTGAAAAGCTTTTTCCACACTGCCCTACGTTCCAATTAGAAACACTATGGAGAGAAAGCAGAATTAATATTTTGGGTCTGGTGACCCTCCTTCGGAACTGATTGTAGCTACAAAAATGTTGGTATATATTCTGAAGATGTGTTTCGGCAGGGGGGGGGTGGGGAGTGGGATGGGAAAGAGTAAATGACAGGTCAAGATGGAGCCCAGAGAGAGAGAGAGAAAACAACAGTTGGCCAGAAAAGGAATGGGTAAATGTCCTCGGAGAAGAATGAATAGCAGCTAATGGGGACCTTTCTTGGCTGACAATGGGTTGTTTGTGGTAGCACGCCATGCAATGACAAGGCCAGGTCTGTAGGGGTTGGGGTAAGGACACAGGAGGTGTTCAAGCCCTAAAATTGTTGAACTCGATGTTAAGTCCAGAAGGCTGTAGGGTTCCCAAGTGGAAAATGAGGTGCTGTTCTTCCAGTTTGTGCTGAACTTGTAACAAGTCTGAGACAGGTATATTGGCCAGGGAACACGGTGGTGTGTTCAAGTGGCAGGCAACCAGAAGCTCAGGGTCTTTCTGCTGACAGAACGTAGGTGATGCTCGACTTAACAGAACTGATTATTTTTGATCTTAAAAGCTGCTTTATTTATATTAGAAAAATCATCAGCTTTTTTAAGCGTCTTTCAATGGAAAGAACTTGTCACGCTCTTGGTCTGACCAACACATGAGTTGTGCCCCACATTCCAGTTAACTCAATTCAAGACATACTGCATTGATACAGTTGCCACAACCTGAAAAGAAATAAAAAGACTAGGTGTTAACTGTAGAAATTGTTACTGTGAGAATGTTAGCAGATGGCTATGTTTGCTTATGGTCAGAGTAGGGTTTGCATTAAGACTAAGGACAGGGTTACCACCAAGGGTATATTTGGGTAAGGTTAGGGACAGGGTCACGTTAGGGTTAGTGTCAAGCAAGGACCTGAGAGGATAGCATGGTCAGGGTGAAGGTGAGGGTGAGGATCAGGTTCAGAGTCACAGTGAGGGTGAGGGTGAGGGTCAGAGTCGGGATAAGGGTGAGGGTGAGGATCAGGTTCAGAGTCACGGTGAGGGTGAGGGTCAGAGTTGGGGTGAGGGTGAGGGCGAGGGTGATGGTGATGGTCAGAGTCAGGATAATGGTGACGGTCAGATTCGGGGTAAGGGTGAGGGTCAGAGTCAGGGTAAGGGTGGGGATGAGGGTCAGAGTCGGGATAAGGGTAAGGATCAGGGTGAGGATGAGGGTCAGAGTCAGGGTGAGGGTCAGAGTCGGGATAAGGGTAAGGGTCAGGGTCAGGATGAGGGTCAGAGTCGGGATAAGGGTAAGGGTAAGGATCAGGGTCAGGGTGAGGATGAGGGTCAGAGTCAGGGTGAGGATGAGGGTCAGAGTGAGGGAGGACCGAGGGGCGGGGCTAAGGCGTCAGGGGCGCGGTCGGGGCCGATGGGCGGAGCCTCCGAGGACAAAGTACACTCGGGGTCCTGGTCAACACGCGCGCTCCCGTTGTTGATGGAGGGTGGTGGCGCGCTGCTCGCTCCCAGGCCGGGGAACATGGCCGCGCTGCGAGCTGCGAAGAAGGCACTGCGCCTGGAAATGAAGCGGAAGGTGGCGGCGCTGAGTGACGCTGAGAAGCGGAGGCAGACAGAAGCCGTCAGCCGGCGGGTGAGTGACAGCGGGGCGACACCCGCCCACCGCCATGTCCCACCGATTACAGCAGGCCCAACCCCCCCCGCCCCCCGGAGGAGGCTTTCCAGCAACTTCCATCAGGCAGACCTGATTCCCCTCCCCCCGACTGAACTACCCCTCCCCCCTTTGGATCCGCCCCTTCACTGACTCCCTCCCCCCTTCAATGGCTCCCTCCTGTACACTGAATCCCTCCGCCCTTGATGGCCCCCCTCCCCCTGACTGAACCCCACCCTTGATAGCTCCTCTCTCCCTCATTGAACCCCTCCCCCTGACTGACCCCCACCCTTGATAGCTCCTCTCTCCCTCATTGAACTCTGCCCCCTGACTGACTCCCACCCTTGATAGCTCCCCTCTCCCTTTCTGAACTGCTCTCTCTTTGATGTTCCCCTCACCCTCCCCCTCACTGAACCCCTCTCTCCTCAATGACCCTCTTCCCCATAATGGCTCCCTTCCATCTCACTGATTCTCTCCCCATCACTGGTCTGAGATTGGAGATTAACTCTGTTTCTGTCAGCACAGATGCTGCCAGACCGGCTGAGTTCTCCAGCACTTTTTTGTTCTGTACTCCAGCATTTGTGGTATTTTGTTTTTACTTGAAGTTCTAGAATAGTCCAATGCTAATAAACATAGAATTCGGCTTGAGTTTATGCTTGAGTCTCTGTAGTTGGGGCTTTAGCCCTCTCTGCATGGAGGTCAAGATGATACTGTTCAGTCAATTAGGAATTCTGGTGGCATCAACTCACTATTACTGCTACTCCTTGTCTACTTTATTTCAGTGTTTTTGTTTATCCTGTTCAACCCTTCATAGTTCACCAATTATTCTTTGTTCAGCGTGGTCACTTGCTGTGTTACATTTGCAGTGCATAGCAAGACACATTGCTTCTCCCCCTTTCATCTCGTACGTTGCCCATTTCCCTGTTATCCAGTGGCTGCATTTTCTGCCTTACTCGACTAGTGTTTACATAAAACATGAAGAGAAGTCTGTAAATTCAGGAGACATGATACAATGGTGAACCATGTATGGTGGTATTCAAAGAGTCAACTCAAACCAGAGACCATACTGCAGCTTTCAGAAATGGTAATTTTTTTTCTGTAAAAGCTGATGTTATTTTTATTTACGTGCCCAGTTTATGTTCACATAACCCACAACAATTAAAAGGAAGAAAATAAAATTTTCCTTTCAATATCTCTAGCAGTATATATGAATTATAAGATTTTAATGAGATATTAATAGATTAAATGAAGGGGTAAAACTGCAACAAATAGATGTCAGGGCAGCCAAATAGGAGGTCAACAGCTTTGGATCTAAAACAGATAGAATATAGTACTTTCCAAAAAGGCACATGGCATTAAAGGGAGGTGGGGTGTCGAGTAGTCGTCTGTCAGCTCTCCAGCACCCTGGTTGTACTACACCTATGTGCATTTGTGGGCACCACACCTTATAAAGCATATATTGGCCTTTAAGGGCCTTAAATTGTATTATCTGGAAATTAAAAGGTTGAGTGGTTCTTTTAATCACTGTTTTCAAGATATTAAGATGAACAAATAAGATAGATAGAAACAATTCCTGCTTGTTGGGGAGTCTAGAAGTAAGGCATGGCCTAAATATTAGAATTAGATCTGTCAGGTGTGACCTTAGGTTATCGGTTTCCAGGTGGCTGCCGGAAATGGAAACAGAGAGGTCCAGGAAGGAGAGAGAGGTATCAGAGATGGTCCAGGTGAACTTAAGGTTGGGGTGGAAGGTGTTGGTGAAGTGGATGAACTGTTTGAGCTCCTCGTGAGAGCACGAGGCGGCGCTGATACAGTCATCAATGTAACGGAGGAAGAGGTGGTGTTTAGGGCCAGTGTAGGTACGGAAGAGGGATTGTTCCACGTAACCTACAAAGAGGCAGGCATAGCTTGGGCCTGGAAACCGATATCCATTTCAAGCCCACCAACTCCCACAGCTACCTAGAATACACCACCTCCCACCCACCTTCCTGCAAAAATGCCATCCCCTATTCCCAATTCCTTTGCCTCCGCCGCATCTGCTCCCAGGATGAGGCATTCCACTCCCGAACGTCTCAGATGTTCTTGTTTTTCAAGGACTGCAACTTCCCCCTCCCCCCCAACCCCAGTGGTCGATCGTGTCTCCCGCATTTTGTGCAACTCATCCCTCACACCCCCTCCCTGCAATAACAACCAAAACAGAATCCCCCTCGTCCTCACATACCACCGCACTAACCTCCAGATCCAACGCATCATCCTCCGACACTTCTGCCATCTGCAATCCGACCCCACCACCAAAGACATTTTTCCCTCCCCACGCTTATCTGCTTTCCAGAGGGACCACACTCTCTCTGAGACTCCCTTGTCTGCTCCACGTTCCCCTCCAGCCCCACCACACCCGGCACTTTTCCCTGCAACCGCAGGAAGTGCTACACCTGCCCCTACACCTCCCCCCTCACCCCCATCCCAGGCCCCACATCAAGCAGATGTACACCTACACATCTGCTAGTGTAGTATACGTTATCTGCTGTTCCCGTTGTGGCCTCCTGTACATCGGGGAAACCAAGCGGAGGCTCGGGGACCGCTTTGCGGAACACCTATGCTCGGTTCGCACTAAACAACTGCACCTCCCAGTCGTGAACCATTTCAACTCCCCCTCCCATTCCTCTGACGACATGTCCATCCTGGGCCTCCTGCAGTGCCACAACGATGCCACCCAAAGGTTGCAGGAACAGCAGCTCATATTCCGCTTGGGAACCCTGCAGCCCAATGGTATCAATGTGGACTTCACAAGCTTCAAAATCTCCCCTCCCCCTACCGTATCCCAAAACCAGCCCAGCTTGTCCCCGCCTCCCTAACCTGTCCTTCCTCCTACCTATCCCTTCCTCCCACATCAAGCCCCACCCCATCTCCTACCTACTATCCTCATCCCGCCCCCTTGACCTGTCTGTCCTCCCTGGACTGACCTATCCCCTCCCTACCTCCCCACCTACACTCACTTTTACTGGCTCCATCCCCGCCTCTTTGACCGGTCTGTCTCCTCTCCACCTATCTTCTCTATCCAGCTTTTATCCGCCTCCCCCTCTCTCCCTATTTATTTCAGAACCCCCTTCCCCTCCCCCATTTCTGAAGAAGAGTCTAGGCCGGAAACGTCAGCTTTCCTGCTCCTGTGATGCTGCTTGGCCTGCTGTGTTCCTCCAGCTCTGCATCTTGTTACCTCAGATTCTCCAGCATCTGCAGTTCCTACTATCTCTGACCTTAGGATAGACTTTATGTACAGAGTGTGGCACATGTTTACAGTGATTTTCCATATACTGTAATTGAAGGCTAGGTCAATTGTTAATTTTAATTCTGGGATTGATAGCTTTTTACTAAATAAAACTATTAAGGAATATGGTGTGTATCTATGGAATTAGGTTACAGAACAGCTGTGATCTCATTGGAAGAACAGGCTTAAGATGCTAAATAGCTTCCTATTGTTCCTATGTTCTTAGGATTCCTACTGACCACATCTGTCATTCTATTTCAGCTGATCGCTCACCCCAAGTACCAGAATTGCCAAAGAATCGCAGTCTTTTTAAGCATGTCTGATGAAATACAGACAGAAGATATAATAAAAGATGTTTTCCAGTGTGGAAAAGAATGTTTCATTCCTCGATATAAATCTGGAAGCAATCACATGGATATGGTGAAACTGGGCTCTGCTGAAGAAATTCACCGCCTTCCTCTGACGTCTTGGAGCATTCGTCAACCTGCTGAAGATGGTTCGCTGGAAGAAGCTTTAACTTCAGGTTGGTAGTGAATGTTTAGGATTTTAGGATGTGTGATGCTCTGAGGGTCGCTGTGGACTTGTTGTGCCGAGGGGCCTGTTTCCACACTGTAGGGATTCTGTGATTCTATGATAAACCATTCAGAATCTTCAGTATTCTACTTGATTAAGAGTTCTGTTTTTAACACCACATACCCTCACTGTTTTATGCCCCTTATCGGTGCATCTCCTAAAACCTTCATCCGTGCCTGTATTACCTCCAAATCTGATTATTTCAGTGCTTTTCAGCCTCCGTAAGTATATCTCTTCAGAGATCCGAAACTCTGCTGCCTGTATGTGAACTTGCACTTAGTCCCATTCATCCTTGTGCACACTGGTCCATTTTTGCTCTCAGCACCTCAATTTGTATGTTCTCATCCTTGTGTTCAAAATATACTGCCCAACCTTTGTGACCTCCTCCAACTATCTGAAACTCTATGTTCCTCAAACTCAGACCTCAGGATTTGGGTTCTGATGTTCAAAGTTACAGGTTAAGAGTACGTGATTTCCTCTCATGATTGAAGTACTTACCTCATCAACTGTGGTAACATTTGGGCTTTGTAAAAATACCACAGAAAGAAATTTAAGAAAAACAAATGACTGTTTGGTTTTTTTTTTACTTTTGTTCCTTTTTGTAATGTGTCTATGCAGTGAATTTTGTGGTGGTAGGTTGAATGTTGCCTCAGTTAATTTTCCATCAAGCTCAATTTGGATTGAATTTTAACTAGCTTGGCAAATTGGCTACTGAGATTGTTTTTAAAATCAGAAGTCACACAGCACCAGGTTATAGTCCAATAGGTTTATTTGAAATCACAAACTTTTGGATCTTAGCCCCTTTGTCAGGTGATGTGAGAGGGAATCAGACAGAACACAGAATTTATGGGCAGAGAGATCAAAAGATTGTACAAATGGTGCGAGTTGAGTGATGAATAATAAGTCCCTGCAGGTGATTTGAACTGTTTGACGGTGTGAGTAAAGTATCAACAGCTGAATAGCAAGCGAAGGGATCACCGAAAATCCGATTCAATGAGGCAGAGAGATAATTACAGAACATTCAAAATAAGATGGTGTTGGAGACAAACCAAATGACTGGAATAACACGATAGGTATAAGAGTCACATGCTGAGGGTCTAACCAAAGTCATAAGCAGTCCAAAACTGTACAAACTAATTAAGGTAGAGAGATCATGACAATTTATCAAGGTGATGGTGACAAAACAGGACAGTAAGGAAGATTTTACAGATACGGTGGGGTCACATGTAGTGCAGCATGAACCCAAGATCACGGTTGAAGCCATCTTCATGGGTATGGGTATCTTCATGAGTTCTGAGGAAGGGTCACCGGACCGAAACGTTAACCCTGTTTTCTCCTTCACTGATGCTGAGTTTTTCCAGCAAGTTTGTTTTTGTTCATGGGTATGGAACTTGGCTATCAGTTTCTGCTCGGCGATTCTGCATGGTTGTGTATCTCGAAGGCTGCCTTGGAGAGCACTTGCTCGAAGATAGGAGGCTGAATGTTCATGACAACCAGTTCTTTATCCAAGCACATGGAACAGCCATGGGGATCAAATGTGAACTTGTCTACTTTGGCAGGAAGAATAGAAAAGATGTATTCTATTAAATTGGGAGAGATTGCAGAATTTGTTGCTGCAGTGGGATCTGGGTGACCTGGTGCACATAATCACAAAAACAGTTAATGTGGACACGCAGCAAGTAATTAGGAATGCAAATGGAATGTTAATATTTATTGCAAGGGGATAGAACGTAAAAGTAGGGAAGTGTTCCTGAACCTGTACAAGCATTGATGAGCCCACAACTAGAGTATTGTGTATAGTTTTGGTTTCCTTATTTAAATAAAGAATATAAGGGAGTTTTTGTTCTTTCAGTGTATTGTGCATTTGTGGAATTCTTGTCCTCCAAAAGTAGTGGAGGTAGAGTCAATGACTTTATTCAAGGCAGAGTTGGTAGATTTTTGATAGACAAAGGATTCAAGGTTTATGGGGGAAAGTGGGATCAGCCATGATCTTATTGAACAGTGGAGTAGGCTTGAAGAGCTAAATGACCTAATCTTGATCCGAAGTTCCTTTGGAGTTTCTAAATTTGTATATGGCTTATCATTATCCATAATCTTTCATATTCTTGACCTTGTGATAAAATCTAGAATTCTATTAGTTGTTTTAGTCTGGTCAGCCTAGGGTGCTGCTTTTAATATCCAATGAATATAGCCCCCACATTCCCTCTGTTGTTTCATTCACAGTTTAATCACTACTGTGATATGTCAGACCAAATTGCATTGCCTTACATTTAATAATAGTATATTCTGTCTTCCATTTAGCCCATTCACACATCATGTCCCTTTGCAGCTTCTATTTTAGTAGCATCTGCACGTTCCGACACCACTAGATGCTTCGTTCTTAGTTAAACACACTAAAATTATCCCTGACATGGATGTTAACAGTGCTGCAATTACCAAGATTAGTTGTCTTCTTTCCTTAAAAAAGGCATTGTACATTGGCCATTCTCCAGTTCGCAGATCATACTGACATTAAATGAGTGCTGAAATATAATTTCTAGGGTCTTAGCAATTTCCTCTTTCATCTCCTTGCTCCACTTCACATCTGTACTCTCTTTCCTCATTTTCTGAAAATCTACCCTAGTCCAATCCAGCACTTTGTTTGTTTGTTTTTTTTCCCCTCCCTCTCTAGTTGGGCTACCTCCATTAATATCTCTCATTCTACAATCTATGTGCTCCTCCAGTTCTTGCTTCTTGAGGATCTCTTGGTGCTAGCTCTGGAATCCAATCTCCCACCCTCCCCATCCGACCCCAAGCTTCTATATTTCTTCAATTCTCTTTCTTTAAGATGCTCCTTAAAATCTGCTTCTTTCATCAAGATTTTGGCCATCTGTGCTCGCATCTCCCTACGTTAATCAGTGTCAAATTTTGCTTTACAATTCCTCTGAAGCTTTTGCAACTTTAATTCTACTAAAAGGTGTTACGTAAATGAAAGTTGTTACTGTTGGACCTTAAACCTTGTCATGCTGTCATCACTGCCCAAAAGGTACTTCCCAAAATTAGCTCCTTGACCTGAGCTATCTCATTATCCCTAATGAGATCAAACAGTGCCTTCATCTGCTTGAGGGAGGCGTCTTGCATATGTTTTGATCCCCTGCTAATTCCCTTATCTTTCTGATTGTAGATGTGTTTTGTATGTAACAGCTACTCTTCTTCACCTGCACCCTAACCCCTGGGCAAGGATTTCTCCTTGGCCCCCTCCTATTTCTCATCTGCAAGCTGCCCCTTAGCAACTGAAAGCAACAAATGCTGGAGTGGGTCAGGCATCATCCATGGAGAGAGATCAAGCTTTATCACAGTCATCCACGCTCAGAACGTTAGCTTGCTGTCTCTCCATGGATGCTGCTTGACTCACTGTGATCTCCTGCATTTGTTGTTTTTGGTTTGGATTTCAGCATCTGTGGTAATTTGCTCCTGCACCTTTAGCAGCACCCATGTCTTAACTGATTCCAGAACTGAGCTTCTCATTATGGCATCACTAAGACCACCTAGTTCCACCTCTTAAACATCACTCGACTTCACCTCTATCTGGGCTCATCTCCTGGTGACACCCTCCATTCATGTATTTATTATATCCGGATTTGACAATTAATTCACTCCTGGCTGCTTGCCCACATTCTAGCTTCTGTAAACTCCAGGTCTGTCAATTTGGACCAAGTTCTGTTCAGTCATCAACATTGTTCTTGATGATTCACATTTATTACTGATCAAGAAACACGTTGATTTTAAAATTCTCATCTTGTTCTCAAATTCCTCCATGGCCAAGTTTCTAACTTTAATCACCTGCAACCACACTACCCTCCTGCACATTCTGATTTTGCCCACTTCACTGTTGGCTGTGTCTTCAGTTGTCAAGATGATGAGTTCTAGAATTCTTGACTGTACCTCTTTACCCCTCTGCCTTGCTTTTCTCGTTTATGATGCATCTTAAAACCCACATCTCTGACCAAACTTCTAATCTCCATCCTAATGTTTCCTGATGTTGCTCAGTGTGATCCTGTGAAGTTCCTCATGATGTACTATAATGTAAAGGAACTTTGTAAACATAAGTTGTTGTTGTTAACCACTATTGAATCCCCTATCAACATTCCCAGGGTTACTTTTGACTAAACCGGACCATTCACTTAACTACTGGAGTTAACAAGCGGATCAAAGTTTGGGAATTCTGCAGCGAGTAATTTGGCTCTTGATTTCCCCAGGTCTGTTCACCATCTACAAGCCAAAAGTCAGAAGTGCAGTGGAATACTCTCCACTTGCATTGATGAGTGCGGCATCCAGCTGACAATGACTACCATTTAGAAGGACAATGATGGTAGACCCATTAGAACACCACCACCTGTGTTACAGACCATTCTGAATTGGAACTATATCACTTTTCCTTCTCTGTCACTGGGTCAAAATCCTTGAACTCTCTCTCTGACAGCACTGTGGGGGTACCTACACCACATGGTCTGTGATTGTTCATGAAGACAGCTCACCAGCACCTTTTTCAGGATAATTAGGGATGGACAATAAATGATGGCTTTGCCTGTGGTGCTCGCATTCTCATGACCAAAGGAAAGATTCCAAGATGTATTTCCTCCCCCTGCACGCAGCCTACGCAAGAGGCCTGCAGCCTGAAAACCCCTCTCAGTGCATTCTCCATTACTGATACTATAAGTTTGTATTTAAAGAGCTATTTGTTCAAATTTATTTTGCTTATAGTTGCAGTTCCTTTGGTGTCACCGTCATTATAATTAATTAATTTCCCCACCAGGTGGCAGAGTATGACAAAATTTAGCAAATTGGTGGGTTAAGCGGTGTTCTTATACACCAAAAGAAAGTTAAAACAATTGGTAATGAGGGGACAGTAATGCACTACACTGCCATCAATCAGTTCCTCAGAGGACATCCTGCTGCAATCAAAGATGCACTGTAAAGTCAGTAATCTGGAACAAATTGGAATAATTAATTTTATTGCTGTGAAACCTGCCACAACGAAATGCAGACATGAATTCCATTCTCTATTTTCACATTCACGAACTAAAGTTCTACTTGGTGACTGGACTTGTCTTAGAGCCACTGCCACCCTGTGTCCCTAACTGTGATAGGGCTTCAGTCCCATTTCAAGGGAAGATTTAGTGATGGTGCAGGAAGCACTCTTGAAGAAAATCTTGGTTAGCCATAGATTCTGCTTTTGTTTGCAATAGTGCTCCCAGGTACTTCACAAAGCTAGGGCAGATAGTGAGTAGGATGTGTGTGTGTCTGCCTGTCGTATTGCATGGGTGAGTGGGCGTGCGCACGTGTGTGTGTTATGCGGGTGGGTAGGAGCATTTTAGAATCTATGATGCTTTTGAAATATTTGATCAGTATCCTCTCTCATTTGTTTTATTGTACTCAGGCTGCACAATACAAATATCATTGTCACTCTTTTTGATCTGTTTCAGTCTGTGTGGAGTAGGTACAGAGTTCTTTTCAGACCTTTTTTGTTGTGCTTTGGTACAATTGAGTGGCTTTCTAGGCCTTTGCAGACTACAGTAGAGTTGCCCAAATTGGTGTGGGCCAGACTGTTTAATGACAGCAGATTTCAGTTCTTGTGTCTTGGTAATGAGTCCATGGTTTTGCAGGTTTGGAGACCAGTCACCTACTTGAGATACTTGGCCTCTGTATTTGGAGGAAAGTCCTTTCTATTTATGGGGATCTTCTAATTCTAAGTTTATTTTTGAAAACTGGTGACTATTGAATGAAAACAAGACAGAGGCAGGTGAAGAGTTACACAGTAATGTAGAGGCAAGAAAGAAAGTAAACGTCATTGTGGAGCCTAATTCATCTTGGGCCCCCATGACCCCCCGCTACTGACATTGCATCAACTGATTTCTCTCTATCAGCTTCAGTCCTGATTTGTCCCTGATGTACTGCCGGAATTATAATCCATGTGATTTTCAGCTTGTGCTAACACTTCTCTAAAGCATTACTTCCTTGTCTCCACATTGCAACTATTTGTAAACTTATAAGAGAATCATTAACCCTCTGTTTCTACATTATCATGAACCTTCCCTCCTCTCCTGTTTGTCATTCTCCCTTTCCTGGTTTAGTTTCCTGCTGTTCTCTGCTGCTCTTGTCATGAAGTTTGCAGTTGTTTTCAAGTCCCTGTATACTACAGCATGGAAGACTATTTGCTGTAATATAAAATTCTAAAATGATAATTGACCTGAGTTTCTGGGTGTGTGGTCCAGTAGACAGTCAGTCGATAGGAAGCAATAGCTGTAAACCATGAGATTTTTTTTACTGTCTCATTTAATCCAGTGACACTGAATCCACGTGTAGCCCCTATACCCAGCACGGATGCTGAACCCCCAACTCACACTGTACCTCTCTTTTCCACCCCCCCGCCATTATCGAAATTCCTGAAGAGGCCTTAGACAGTGTAGGCCACATTCATACCTTGGGAATCTAACGTCATCAAGGGCAGGCATTGATGAAGAGGGTCAGAACGACCTTCATTGTGCCAGTATAACCTTTGGCAGCCTGAGGAAGAGAATGTGTACCTCAAATCGACGAAATAACAAGTTCATGGTCGATAGTGCAGTAGTGACACCCACCCTCCTGTATGGGTCAGAGACATTGACAAGCTACACAAAGCAGTTCAAATCCCAGGGGCAGTACCACCAGCACTACCTGTGCAAGATCCAGGAAATCCATTTTCAGGAGAAGTGCATCAGTATCAGTGTTCCTGCTCAGTCCAGTATCACCAGCATCAACACGCAGGATCAGCTCTGCTGGGCAAGCCACATCACATTGCCTGAGATGAAACTCCCAAATCAAGTACTCCATTCAGAGCTTCAACACAGCAGTTCCCTGAGGAAGTCCTGCCTTGACAGAGAAAGGAGTGCATGGCAACCTAGGCATCCCGCTTTCCTATCTCCCCAACCACTGTTCGTCCCACCTGTGACTGATACTGTAGGTCTTTCACTGGAGTCGTCAGTCACCTGAGATCTAATTTTAAGTTAATTCATCCTCCAGCATGAGGGAGTGCCCAAGAAGAAGGTTAAATCATGATAGGCTCAGGATAAAACCTAGGCCTTGGCTGCTTGTTGTTAGTCAGCACAAACCATTTATCCACTGACCTCTTTGAGGCAACTTTTGTTTTTTTTTTATTTGCTGAGTTTAGCTTTACTCTGTTCTGAAGAAGTCATACTGGGCTTGGAACGTTAACACTGTTTCACTCTCTAGAGATGCTGGCAGACCTGCTGAATTTTTCCAGCACTTTGTTTTTATCCCAACTTTAGTCTGATTCAGAATGCTATCATTTCAATCAATTACAGCTTGAATTTCAATGCTGAAAGAAGCTTTATTGAAAAATCTGATGCACAGAACTATTTGCATTGATTCTAGATGGTCACATCCATATAGACAGGCATGAGAATCATTCGGCAAACACCAAATCTTTGATCTGGCCCTTTAAATGTGAGAATTCCGGATGTGAAAGCCGCTGTTTACATTTAAATGTGTCTTTCTTGTTAACAGATTTTGATACCAGGTGCAAATGTGGATTAATCATAGGTTTTACCACCATGGTGTCAATTCTACAACTTTCTCTATTGGTATAGTTCCTACCTGGAAAACTGAGCTTACTCTCAAAGCTTTGCACTGTGATATACTTCTTGCAGTGGAAACTGCATCTCCACCATCTCAAAACTGAGTTTGCTTCAGCCAGTTTAACAGATTTAAAACCGAGGAGAAATTAATTCTATGAAACGGTCATGAATCTGTGGAATTGACTACCCTAGATTGTGGTGAATGCTGGGACATTAAGTAAATTTAAGGAGGTGATAGAGTGATAGCTAATTAGTGATGGGTTGGAGGGTTATGGAGAGTTGGCAGGAAAGTTGAGGCCAAGATTAGATCAGTCCTGATTGTGTCAAATGGTAGAACAGGCTTGAGGGCTGAATTGGCTGCTCCTGCTTCTAGTTCTTTCATTCTTACATCCTTCATTCTATCTGACCTTCTTTCTCCGTCCCTGTATGTTGGTGTCTCCCTTACTGTCCGTGCCACTTATTTAAAGAGATATTTGTTAACAGGATAGCTTCCTGGAGCATAATGTGCAGCAGATATTAAGCATTTGTTAATTCATAAACTATCTTGAAATCAACATTGATTCCCAGAGATAAACATGTTAGATTTTCCTCTTTGGTGAAGGTGAGCTTACTATAGGTGAGCTGTTATCATACACTTGTGCACGATAATTCATTGGGTAGTCAGAAAATATTGACCAATTTGTGGCAAAGGCCTCTGGCCCACCAGCACAGAAGAGAAGAATTTATCTCAATCTTTCTCGATCATTATTGAGCAGAATGAGTCAGTAGAAATCCCTGAAAGCTGAGTGATCCATTCCGACTCCAGAGACTCCCAGAAACCAGCTTGACCCATACCTGGTCTCCTTTGTGGAGATCCAGGATCACAGTTTTGATTGAGAGCTGGGAACTGTTTATTGGAAGCACGCTATGGATCACAGTGACCATCTTATTGTTCTTGATCAGGGCCACATCTGTCAGCAGTCCCCTCCCTGGCAATGAAGAGTAACAGAAAAAATACAGCCCACACTTGGGACATGTGAACTTTCCAGTCTTGTTACTGTAACCCTGTCCAAGATTCACATTGACCTCATCGTACACGATCGGATCCACAGGAGTCAGCACATGGTTCATTGTGGAGCGCTGTACATCATAAACCACATCCAATTCTGACAAAGTAGAAAATGATCATTGAATATGATGACTATTAAAAACATTTTTAACCTCTAAATTGAGAGATATTTTTAATAAAATGTAGGGATGCAAACAAGTTAAGCACCGGCACAATGAGCAATAAGGAGGTGGAGGTGAAGGACAGTCACCTGTACTTCAGAAACAAAAATAGAAATTGCTGGAAAAGCTCAGGAGGTTTGAAGAGATATCAGGGTTGACGTTTCGAGTCTGGTGACCCTTCCTTCTCATCACAGATGCTGCCAGACCTGCTGAGCTTTTCTCGCAATTTCTGTTTTTGTTTCTGATTGATTTACAACATCTGCAGTTCTTTCGGTTTTATTTAGTACGCACCTGTACTTTAGCATATTTGTAGCTTTTCTAATGAATCATTCTGCAACTATTTTTCTTCACTTGGCGAGTTAAGATGACCTTGGGTCTTTCCTCAAACTTTCTGATGCTCTGGGTTGTGGATAATGTCAGTATTTTTCCTCACATCTTCCCTTCTCATATTTGAAGATGTGTGCCTTAATAGGGGACAGATGTATGAGCGGTATACCTTGCCTTCACCCAGTTAGTGCACTTTATTGAGGGGAACTTGTGTTGGGTGATCAAATGGCACCTCTTTCAGATGATCAGGATGAATAAAAAGAGATCATCCATGGAGAGATACTAAATTAATCTCCCACCACCACTGCCCTACTCTCTGATATAAGAAAAACCCTCTGCCCCCATCTCACAGAGCCATCACCTGTACCTACTTAGTGTTAAATTTCTTTTGTCACCAGCGACACTCTTTTGGGCAGTGCTACTTTTGTGCTGTACCCTCATGCCATTTGGAACTGACTGAGTTGCTATTCAAACTTATTTCACAGCTCAGCAAAGTTCATCCTGTCTTGTCTGGATTAGATTTGAACCCAGATGGTAAAGAGCAATGTCTTTTCCCACTTCACCTTGTAGTTCCCTATTCAGATGGGTTTAGGTACTCAGTTACAGTTGGAAAGACAGTAAGCCCTGAATATGTCCTTGCTGAGCATCTGCACCTTCAGCAGGCATCAGTGGATGATGATCAGAGATGGGAACCCTGGCTAATTTTCTTTTCTTGTATCCCAGTCCAGAGGTTCTGAACCCGGTGTTAGGATCCCTCGTTGGCTTTACCACCAAGTTTGTATGTTTCAGTACCTCCATGTGCTGTGCATCTAGCCATTGAGCCACACTGAGCCTTCACAACGCACCATCCAGCACATCTACACTCCATGGTTTTCTTTTTCTTTCTCATTTTTTAGTTATTAATGGATGTCTCATCGACCTGATAAATGTCCTAGTTTTATAAGACCTTAAAACCATAAGATTTAGGAACAGAATTAAGCCATTTGGCCAATGGAGTCTGTTCCACCATTGGATCATGGCTGATATGTTTTACAGTCCCATTCTCCTGTCTATTCGCCCTAACCTCTGATTCCCTTACTGATCAAGAATCTACCTATCTCTGTTTTAAATACAGTCAATGACCTGACCTCCACAGCCTTCCGCAGCATTGAGTTCCACAGAGTAACCACCCTCTGGCTGAAGAAATTCCTCCTCATCTCAGATCTAAAGGGCCATGCCTTCATGAGCCTGTGCCCATGGGTCCTAGTCTCTCTGACAAGTGGAAACATCTTCGCCACTATTCAGGCCTTCCAGTATTTTTAAAATTTCAATCTGATCCCCACTTATCCTAAATTCCTTTAAGTGCAGATCCAGAGTCCTCAACTGCTCCTCATTTAACAGACTCTTCATTCCTGGGATTGTTTTTGGCGCTTTGTCTGGAAATCCTCTTGGCCAGCATATCTTTCCTTGGATATAGGGCCCAAAACTGCTCACAGTGTTTCAAATGAGGTCTGACCAGAGCCTGATACAGCCTCAGTAATGCATCCCTTCTCTCATATTCTAGCCCTCTCAAAATAAATGTTAACATTGCGTTGCCTTCCTAACTGCCAGCTGAACCTGCATGTTAACCCTAAGAGAATCCTGAACTTGGACTACTAAGTCCCTTTTGTGCTTCAGATTTCTGAAGCCTTTCCCCATTTAGAAGATAGTCCATGCTTGCATTCTTCCTACCAAAGTGCATAACCTCACACTTTCCCACATTGTATTCTATTTGCCACATCTTTGCCCACTCTCCTTGCCTGTCCAAGTCCTTCTGCAGCCTTCTTGCCTCTTCAAAATGATCTGTCCTTCCACCTGTCTTTGTGTCAACTGCAAACTTCGCAACATTAGCAACAATGCCCTCAATTCCTTCGTCCAGATCTTTAATGTATAACATCAGTAGTTGGCAGTGCAGAACTCCACTATTTACCGGCTACCATCCTGAAAAAGATCCCTTTAACCCCCCTCACTGTCTTCTGCCAGTTAGCCAATCCTCTCTCCATGCCAGTACCTTGGCCCTAACACCCATGGGCTCTTGTCTTATTTAACAGCCTCCTGTGTGGCACCTTGTCAAAGGCATTCTGAGAATCCAAGTAGATCATATCTGCTGGCTGTCCTTTGTTTAACTTGCTTATTACCTCCTCAAAGAATTCTAACAGATTTGTCAGGCATGAGTTGACAAAGCCATGCTGACTCAGTCTTATTTCACCATGTATTCACTGCTGCTCTACTGTCTTCTCTGCGAGACTCCCTTCCAATCAGTTCTGGCCAGATTCTCCCGTATGTCTTTGTAGTTACCTTCACTCAATTTTACTACGGTAAATTATAATAATACCAGTACTCTGTAGTCTCATTCTTAATAATGGACTCTGAAATCTTACCAATACCAGAGGTCAGGCTAACTGGCCTATAATTTCCTGTCTTCTGTTTCCCTGTCTTTGTAAAGAGAAATATTACATTAGCCATTTTTTTTTTTTGGTCCTCTGGGACCCTCACTCCCTCCAGTATTTTTTTCTGAGTCATCACCATCACTTCTACAATCTCCTCAGCTGTCTCCTTCAGAACCCTGAGGTGTAGTCTGTTCAGTCTAGGTGATCTATCCACTTTAGACATTTCAGCTTCCCTAGCACCTTCTCCCTATTGAGTGGTCTCAACACTCATCTCTGCTCCCTGACTCTCTCAAAGTTCTGGTATGCTACTGGTGTCTTCCACTGTGAAAACAAATGCAAGGTATCAATTCATTTCCTTTGTAATTTCTTTGCCATTATTACTTCTCCAGTGTCCACCAATGCCTCTCTCTTACCTTTCATATTTCTAAAAAAACTCTTGCAATCTTCTTTTATATTACTAGCTAGCTTACTTCCATATTTCATCTTCTTTCCCGTTACTGCTTTTTTTAGTTAGTCTCTGCTGGTTTTAAAGTCTTCCCAGTCTTCTGGCTTCCCAATAATTTTCACCACATTGTGTACTTCTTTTGTTTTATGCTGTTCCTGACTTCCCTTGTCAACCATGGTTGCCTTGTCCTCCCTTTAGTATGATTCTTCTTCCTTGGGATGAATTTCTGTTGTGCCTCCCAAATTACCCCCATTAACTCCTGCCATTGCTGCTCTACTGTCTTTTCTGCTAGATTCCCTTTCAGTCAGCTCTGGCCAGATTCTCCCTCATGTCTTACTTTCATTCAATTATAATACCATTAGATCTGATTCAATCTTTTTGCTCTCAAACTATCTCCTGATTTATTTTCTAACCCACATCCTGACTCCTGCTAGGAGGCTTGTACATAACTGCCATCGGGGGTCTTTTTTCCTTTGTGGTTCCTCAATTCAATACAAGTACAGTCTATGCCACTCCCCCACCCCGCCAATTTCACTTCTTGCTGTCGATTTAGTTTCAATTTTTAGTAACAAGGAAATCCTGCTCCCTTTACACACCTACCCGTTCTTTCAATCAGATGCGTATCCTTCAATATATACTTCCCAGCCCTGATCCCCTTGTAGCCAAGTCTTTGTGATGCTCACAACATTGTAGCACAGAATGAAATCAGTGGATACTAGCTCATTTACCTTGTTTCGTATACTGCATGCATTTAAGGACAACACCCTCGGTCCTGCATTGACTGCCCCAGTCCTCATAGTTGTTCCCTCATCTGATGTGCCTGAAGTCAGATTCCTGCCCTTTCCATACTCTGTCTTATGACTTGGTCTTGAAACTTGTTGGGAATGTTGCCTGAACTCACCTTTATTCCAAGTAAAGGTAGGTCCGAGCCTGGCTTTTGCTTCTGTGATCAATTTCAGTAGATTAATTGGTTTCATTTCTTCATTTGCAGCTCCCTGGAACAAATTGAAAAATTGGAGGAAATGATTGTTCATTTTCTGATATGCACAGCTTAAGGTCAGCATTTGCAGGATGTTAAAAACAGAAAATGCTCAAGAAACATAGCAGGACAGACAGGATTTATCAGAGACAGACACAGAGTTAGTGTTTCAAGTCTGATATGACCCGTCTTCAGAATTGAAAGGGGCTAGAAAATGATGCTTTTTATGTTGTTGATAGAGGGAGAGAAGGAGCAAGAGGAACATACTGTGAGGGTGTCCAGAGCAGAAGAAAAAGGGGTTTTAATAATCGTAAAGGAGAGATTGAGATATCAAGTAAGTGTTAATGATTGGTTTGAATAGGAGAAAATAGGTCAGGTTTGCTGGGCGCAAAGCCAACAAGATAGGGAGGTGAGTAATATGAGTTTATAGTTTGAAGTTTTGAATTCCATGTTGAGTCCTGAAGACTGTAAAGTATCTAAATAGAAAATGAGATACAATTTCTCAAGTTTGTGTTGAGCTTTGTTGAAACAATATAGCAGGCTCAGGACAGGAATATTAGCATGGGAGTAAGATCGTTTATTGAAACGGCAAGAAACTGGAAGGTCAGAATTGCTGTTACAGGCAAAGCAAAGGTGTTCAGCAAAGTAGCCACCCAGCCTGGTCTTGCCAATGTCAAAGAGACTGCATTGTGAGCAGTGAATACAGTAGATTGGATTGAGAAAGGTAAAAGTAAATTTCTGCTTCATCTGGAATGTGTGTTTTGAGACGTAGCTCAATGAGGGAGGAGGAGGTTAAAGGGCAAGTGTTACATCTTCTGTTACATGGGATGTACCATGGGGAGGGTGGGGATGAGGAAGTGTTAGGAGTGATGGAAGTGTAAACCAGCCAGGGTGTGGTCTCTGGGAATGCTCATAATGGAGGGGAGGGAGCGATGTTCTTGCCGGTGGCAGCCTGTGAGACATACAGGAATTGGCTGAGGATGATCTTTTGAATGCAGGAGACTGATGGAGTGAAAAGTGAGGACAAAGGGAATACTATCATTGTTCTGGGAAGGAGGAAAAGAGGTGGAGGTGGAATTGTAGGAAATGGATTGGATCTGGCTGTGAACCGTGTCAACCACGGTGGCTGGGAATCCTTAGTTGAGGGAAAAGGAGTGCACACTGGAGACAATCCCGTGGAAGGTCGTGTTATGAGAACAGGTGCTGCAGAGAAACAGGATAAATGCAATAGAGTCCTTCTAGTAGCAGGGTATGAGGAGGTGTTAACTGTAGGGCCTTCATGAGGTTGTTGATGATAGTGGTGGACAGCCTGTCCTCAGAAATGGAAACAGCAAAATTGAGGAAGGGAAAGGAAATGTCAAAGACAGACCAGGTGAAGATGAAAGAAGTATAGAAGTTGGAATCAAAACTGATATTTTTTCCGATTCCAGGTGAGAGTGTCAGTGATCATCCATGTATTGGAGAAAGAATTGTGAGAGCAGTTCCTGAATAGGACTGGTTCAAGAAATATTTTTCCCGACAAAGGGAAAGGTGTAACTAGGACCCATGCAAGTGTCCATATCCACTCCTTTGACCTGAAGGGTGAGATGGGATAAAAAAATAACTTTTTCAAAGCGAGAACTAGCTCAGCCAGGTGGTGGAGTGTGGTGCGTGATGGGGACTGTTCAGGCATCCTTTCAAGAAAGAAGAAGAGTTGCCTTCAGACCATCCTGATGGAGGATGGATGTGCAGAAGGATTGCACATCCATGGTGAAGAGGAAGCAGTTCAGGCCAGACAACTGGAAATTCTGGAACTGATGTAAAGTGTCAGAAGAATCACAAATGTAAGTGGGAAGAGACTGAACCAAGGGAGAAGAAGTAGAACCAAAATATGAAGAACTGCAGGAGCAGGCTAAAACAATGGGTCAGTCCTGTTTGTGAATTTTCGTAAGTAGGTAGAAGCAGGCTGTGAGGCCCTGGAAGTTATTGCATCTTCTGAGGGAATCTAAAAGTTGGGGGCTTTGTTTAAAACTAAAGTTCTCCCATTTAAGATAGATCAAGGTGAGGATTCTATGTGTTTTTCGTAATTGTTGCACTATCTCCTCAGTGAGCAATGGAGGCACGTTTATCAAATATATACTAGGCTGAGTTGACAATGACAGAAATTGTTGGAGAAACTCAGCAAGTCTGACAGCACCTGTGGAGAGAGAAAAAGAGTTCACGTTTCCAGTCCAGTGACCTTTCAGATATTCATGAATCAAAATTCCCCTAGGACCACTGTACCTATGCTGTATTGGGTGGAGGAAGAAATACGTTTTCTTTATGATCGCATTTTGCTGTTACTCCCACAAATGTTTAAATAGTCAGCCAGATAGTTATGCTCTGCTTCTGTGATAAATTATATATTTTCTGTGGGCAAGGTAACTGGATTAGGAAGGGATATGGTCATGCAGGGTTTTCACTTTAGCGATGAGTGTTTTAAATTGGTGGTGTTGGGGTACTTTGAGCTGGATTGGTAAATTAGGACAAGATTGGGTGATTGGACATGCTGATAGAGGTGGGAGGAGGCCAATTTGGAGCAATAGCACCTTACATTTATACATCACTCTCTTTGAAATAAAGGCCAACATTCCATTTGCTTTCCCTATGACCCATTGAACTTGGATGCATTTGTGATCATGGATGAGGATTCTTAAATCCCTCTTTCTGTAGTCTTTCCCCATTTAAATAATATTCAGTTCCTTTAAACTTCCTGCCAAAGTGCATAACTTCACATTTTCCCTCATGTTCCATCTGCCAAGTTTTTGCCCACTCACTTAACCTGTCTGTATCCCTCTGCAGATTTTTTGTGTCATTCTCACCAATTGACTTCCCACTTATTTTTGTATCATCCACAAGTTTGGCGATGGTATGTTCAGTTTCTTCATCCAAGTCATTAAGATACATGATAGTTAATTGTGGCCCCAGGACTGATCCCTGTGGCAGACCACTAGTTACAAGTTGCCATCCTGCAAATGCCTCTTCATGCCAACTTTGTCTATTAGCTGGCCAGTCCTGTATTTATGCTAATTCATTACCTCTAACACCACGTGCTCTTATATTGTTAAGTAGCATAATGTATGGTACCTCATCAAACGCCTACTGAAAATCCAAATATATAACATCCACTACTTCTCCTTTATCTGTCCTGCTTGTTGCCTCCTCAAAGAATTCTAGTAAATTTGTGAGTCGTGATTTCCCCTTTGGGTGGCTATGCTGACTCTGCTTGAGCTGTTATGCATTTCTAAATGCTGTGCTATTACATCCTTTATATTGGAGTAACATATTTCCAATAACAATATCAGTTATTGTAACTGGCTTGTAGTTACCTGTTTTGTTATTTTTTTACCCCATTCCCTCTTTAAATAAAGGTGTTACATTGGCAGTTTTCCCATTCTCTGGCACTTTTCCAGATTTTAAGGATTCCTGGAAGATTACTACCAGAACGGCCACTTTCTCTGTTGCTGCTTCCTTTATTATTCTGGAAAGCATTCCATCAGGCCTATAGTCTTATCGGTCTTTAGTCCTGATAGTTTCTCCAGCACCTTCTCTCTCGGGATAATTATTGTATTTCAGAGTCACAGAGTCATACAGCACGGAAACAGACCCCTCGGTCCAACTCATTCATGTCGACCAGGTTTCCCTAACTGAACTCGTATTTCACCTCATACTTTTGTCCCTTGAACATTGAGAAATTTTGGGATGCTATTAATGTCTTCTCCTATGATGACAGATGCAAAGTATTTATTTAACCTCTCTACTATTTCCTGGTTCCCAATTATTATTTCCCCAACCTCATTCTCTTAAGGGCTTATGTTCACTTTGGTTTATAAAGAAGCTTTAGCTGGCCATGTTGATATTACTTGCAAGTTTACATACAAAGTTTAGTTCTTCCCTATTTATTGTTCTTTTTATGTTTTATTTTTATTGTTGGTTTTAGGAACGAGGTTGACAGGGGCAGGAGGCCCAAATCATTAGCCAGATTTCTGATTTTGGAGAAATGTAGGTGTATGAACACTAGGCAGACCTATAATGGCCTGGCACTTGCTTCCTGAGCTCTGCATTCAGCCCCTTTTGGACAAAATGCAGGTAATTGCAAATGTTCATAGAATTATGGAATTCGTACAGTGCAAAAGGAGACCATTTGGTCCATTCATTTTTATGTCAGCTCTCTGAATGAATGTCTTACTGGTGCTGTTCTCCTACCTTCACCCCATAACTTCACATATTTTATTGGACATGTTTCTTGTACACATCATGGGTACATTTCAGGAAATTCCAAAGAAGTTAATTTAGTTAATTTTGATAGATAGCAAATCATATGGGAACACTTAGGGGAATGTAATAGAAGATCATGAGAGACAGAGAGGGGGCAGCTGGAAGGAGAGATGGAAAATACATAGGGACAAAAGGAGTAAGCAACATGGTGAGAGGGCGAAACATATGCAGAGAAAAAGATACATAGGGAGAGAGAAATGGAGTGAGTTGGAGACACAACAAGAGGTAGCTGAAGACTTGACCACCAATGGTGAATCAATTAAAGTCAGGGTTATGGTTAGGCCAAAGAGGCCAGAATTAATTGAGTGCAGGTATCGTAGAACATTGTGGGCTGGAGAATATTACAGAAATAGAAAGGCACAATGTCATGGAGGGATTTGAAAATAGGGTTGAGAATTTTTAAGTCAATGTGTTCTTTAACTTGGGACCAGAGTAGGTTAACAAGCTCACAGGTGGATGGGACTTTGTGAGATCCAAGGCATGAGAGTTTGGGTGTTGACAGTCGAATTTTGGATGATTCTCAAGTTTATGAAGAGTATGAGAGTGGACAATGAGGAGTGCATGGAAATAGTCAATTCTAAAGGGAGCAAAGGTATGACTGAAAGTTTCAGCAGCAAATGAGCAGAGAATGGTAATGGTGATGTGATGGGGGTAGAAATAGATGTTCTTGGTGATGGCATGGATATCGGATCAGATACTAATCTCAAAAATAAGAGCAGGCCAGGCAGCATCAGAGGAGCAGGAAAGTTGACGTTTCGGGTTGGGACCCTTCTTCTGTGCTCCTCCAGCTCCACACTGTGTTATCTCTGACTCCAGCATCGGCTGTTCTTATTATCTCATCTCAAAAATCATATTTAAGAAAAAAAAAATTCATGGGATGGGTATATCACTGGCAAGGCCAACATTTGTTGTCCATCCTTAACTGAACTTGAAGTATGTGGCTTGCTCCCCCATTTCAGAGGGCATTTAAGAGCCAGCATTGATGTGGGTCTGGAATCAATGTACTCAGAACAGCAGATTTCCCTAAAAGGCATCAATGAACCAAATGGGACTTTTCATGACAATCAAAATGGTTTGACCATTGCTGAGATTAATTGTGGATATATTAATTGAATTTAAATTCCAATATCTGCTGTTGCAGTCATTTGAACCCTGATTCCCGGGAACAATAGCTTGGACTTCTGGATTACTAGTCCAGTACCATAACCATCTCCTCCCTAAACATACATGTGTAACTGATGCTAAGGTTGTGAACAGTGTGGTTCAGCCACAGACAGTTACCAGACATTAGAATGGAGCTAATAACTAATAAGTAAGGCAATCAAGGGTTATGGGGAAAAGGTCTGAAATGCAGAATTGAGGATTATCAGATCAAAGATTGTCTCCTGAATGGTGGAGCAGACTCAATGGGCTGAATGGCCTATTTCTGCACCTATGTCTTATGGTTCCAGCATTCACAGTACTTAACTTTTATACTAGTTAACGGGGAATTGGATTGAAGGAGTGAGAGTCTCATTAACAAATTCTGTTCAGTGTTGGCATAAAGGGAGCTAGGGGAGCAAATAGAGCAAGAAATGAGTTCATTGTTATGACAGGATGGAACCTTAGAGTAATTTTGGGCAAAGCAAAGGGAGTAAAGTAATGGAGACAGCTAATTGGACAACCTTTGTGTTATTGACTAAAACACCATGAGCATGTTGGAGATGAGAGTGGTAGAGACAAGATAGATGAAGAATTGCAGTGGAGGAAAGAAGCTATTACCTTTGGATGCCAGTTCATTCCAAGAATAATGTGTAGTTATGGCACATGTCAGCAGAACTGATAATATTTTATGTGATCTAACAAGATCTGGCATTAAATGACGAAGCAAATACAGACAAGCATCTATATTGCCTCATGAAACAAGGGAAAATATGTAAAAAGGAATAGGGAAACATGACAAGCGGGCAAGGAAGGCAGAAATGGAGAGGGAGAAAACAGAGAAATTATCATTTCTTGTAAGATAAAGGGGGAGTAGAAGGACAGGCATGTAAAATTAGTATGTCATCCTTACCTGAAAATCTTCTTGTATACTTTCCATGACACTAATCTGATAAATGCAGTAAAACAGGATTAAACACAAAAAGTTTCCTTGAAATAAAAAAAAGTTATTTTATGTGAGATAGAATGTACTAGATATATAAAGCATCAACAATCATTGATACTTGAACCTACCAATCCAAAGGAATCCATTCTTTAAATTGACTTTGAGATCAAAGTACCCTCTCTTCAACTTGTTCTCAACCCAATGTTCAGCCTGTGCTAGATCTCCAGGTTTTATAGATCTTACTGTTTCTTAGCTTTCTTTTTCTGCAAGTTCCTGCTCCTTCCTTCCGATTTTATAAAGAACGGTGCCCCTGGTCACAAACCGCAATCCAATGTCATTCAAATCTTGGTAAACATACAAGTGTTATAACCAAAACACTCATGTACATGGCTTGCAAACTTCAATAATTAAGATGTTGTCTCCAATAGCAACCAAGTGCCATTCAGACATCTTAGGAAGCAATGGAATATTTTCAACTTACATGCTCAAAATATCATTGTATAAAAATCACTCTACACCCTCAACTTGATTCCTGTTAGATGGCTCATCCAAACCATGAATCATTCAGTTTCTCGTGATAACACTTTTGTCCTTTATTATTTTTTCAACACATTAACATGATCTTTGCTGCCATGAATCCTCTCCACCTGTTCCTCCAATCAAATACCATATCCCATATACTGTATGTCCCCTGCATCCCGGTTACACTGAAAATTTAGACTCATTGCTCCATCTCCCAGTCTAACTCATTCTTCCAGAGTGTGGTCATGAAAAGAGTGTAGCACTCAATCAGGAAATGTTAGGAATTTGGGAGAGCGGGAATTAGGTGTAGAGGAGGGAGGAAATAATGTAATTTATGTCAAAAAAAGCTAGCACCCAAATTCAGCAGGTGTTAGAGAAGGTGAATGGAACGTTGGTTTTTATTTCAAATGGAATTGAGTATAGCAGTAGAGAACTCTTACTCAAACTGTGCAAAGCAGTAGCTAGACCCCTCCTAAAATACTGTGAACAGTTTTGTCCCCTTATCTAAGGAAAAATATGCTGGCATTAGAGGCAGTTCAGTGAAGGTTCAACAGGTTTATTCTGGGCATAGAGGAATTTTCTTATACAGTCATAGAGACATACAGCACAGAAACAGATCCTTCGGTCTAACCAGTCCATGCCAAACATAGTCCCACCTGCCTGCTCCTGGCCCATATCTCTTTAAACCTTTCCTATTCATGTACTTATCCAAATATCTTTTAAGCATTGTAATTGTACCCACATCCACCACTTCCTCAGGAAGTTCATTTTGCACATAAATGACCCTCTGTGTAAAAAATTTGCCCCATGTGTCTTTTTAAAACCTCTCTCCTCTCACCTTAAAAATGAATCCCCCTAGCCTTAAAATCCTCCATCCTGGGGAAAAGACACCTACCATTAACCATATCTATACCCCTCATGATTTTTTGACCTGCTATAAGATCAAGTCTCAATCTCCTACACTCCAGTGAAAAATGTCACTGCATGTCCAGCCTTTCTTTATAACTCAAACCTTCCATACCTGGCAATATCCTGGTAAATCTCCTCTGAACCATCTCCAGCTTAATAATATCCTTCCTGTAACTGGGCGACCAGAGCTGGACACAGTTTTCTAGAAGAGGCCTCACCAATGTCCTGTAGAACCTCAACATGGCTTCCCAACTCCTGTACTCAAAGGACTGAGCAGTGAAGGCAAGCATGCCAAATGCCTTTTTAACCGCCCTGTCTATATGTGATGCAAACTTCAAAGAATTATGTACCTGCGCCCCTAGGTCCCTCCATTCTACAGCACTGCCCAAGGCCCTACCATTAATTGTATAAGTCCTATCCTTGGTTGTTTTACCAAAATGCAATACTTTGCATTTATCCAGATTGAACTTCATCTACCATTTTTCAGCACATTGACCCATTTGATCAAGATCCCTTTGTAATCTTAGAAAACCTTCTTCATTGTCCACAATGCCTACAATTTTGGTGTCATCTGCAAACTTATTAACCATGCCTTCTATATTCTCACCCAAATCATTTATATAAATAACAAACAAAACAGGACCCAGAACTGATCTCTGTGGATTATCAGGAGAGTTTGAGTAGATGAGGCCTGTACTCATGTACGATTCTTGGGGGGCTTGACAAGGTAGATACTGAAAGGTTGTTTCCCCTTGAGGGCCAATATGGGGCCAGAGGGCATAGTTTCAGAGTAAAGTTTTACCCACTTCAGACAGTGATGATGAGGAATAGCCTCTGTCAAAAGGTAGTGAATACTTGGAATTCTTTACCACAGAGATGCTGTGTCGTTAAGTATGTATTCAAGGCTGAGACAGATTTTTAATCAGTCAGGGAATTGAGGGCTAATGGGGAATAAGCAGGGAAGTGGGAGTTGAGAATTTCGTTCTGAAGTAGGGTCACTGGACCTGAAATGTTTACTGTGCTTTCTGTCCAAAGATGCTGCCAAACTACTGAGTTTCTCCAACTGTTTCTGTTTTCCTTTCAGATTTCCAGCATCCATAGTTCTTTTGTCCTTTGTTTGGAGTTGAGAACTGTCAGATCAGCCAAGATCTCATTGAATGGTGGACCAGGCTTGATGAGCCAAATGACTTACTTCTGCATCTACATATTATGGTCTTTTGGTCCACTGTTTGGAATTGTACCTAGCACACACAGGAAGATAGCTGTTGTTCCAGGAGGCTTGACAGCATCACCCAAGGATATCTCTGCAGGAATTCCTCAGAGACCTGGGCCCACAGCTGCTTCATCAATTACCTTCAATCAACCATATGGTCAGGACTTAGATGGTCACATGATGCACCGTGTTCTCTTCCGTTCATGACTCCTAAAATACTGAAACAGTTTGTGTTAATATGTAGCAATACCTGGACAATATTCTGGTTTGGGTTGATAAGTGGCAAAGAACATTTATGTGATCCTAGTATTAGGTAGCGACCATTTCCAGCTAACTATCTCCATTTCTCCAAATCAACAGACGGCTCTGCCACTAAGCAATTGAGGACGATTCTGGGAGGAGTCAGCTCGGTCACCGTGATCGAGGGGAGCACAGAAGAGCTTGTGTTTAGAGAACGGTGCATGACATCCAACAAAAGGTGCTGCTGAGAAACGACTGAGGAGAATTCTAGGATTTCAGTCACCTGAGCTATCTTCCATTGCATCTGGAAGCCTAAGATAGGCCATGTCTACAGGGACTTCGTGAACAAAACCCTGGAATAAGGGATGGAAAGAACATACCCAGCGTCGCCGCATCGGAATGGCCACTTTTGCGTGTGGCTGCATCAAGCTGTTTGTAGACCCTTGGCATGCAAACACCAAGTGTTACTAGATACTGAGGTTCTTGTGGAGGTGGGGAGGGTGTTGGGGTGAGACTGCCACACATCTTGTTCTGCAATGTGCCTTTGCAAAGGAAGTCTAGAGCGAGATACCATACTTTTTATCAAGGTTCATCCCGAGCAGCTCCGTGACGTAGGACTCTGTGCTGTACGGGCTGTTCCCCGGGACGCACATCGAGACAACATCAACTGTGCCTGGAGGACCATCAACCCAGTGAAGGACGCTGTTTGGTCTGCCTGAAACTTGTTGGCCTTCCAGACAAGGAGTGTACCTTGAGTGAGTGTTGCACACTGGCACATTCCAAGGTGCAGGACTACAGGGAAACACTAAAGCTTGGGGCATCTGCTGCTAAGGCACAGTGGGGAAGGACCACTGTCTGCGGTCTTTCTGCTGAAATTAAATGGGGGTCTGTTGAGTTATCAGACTCTCCTAGTGACTCAAATGCATGTGAATATAGTCTTATATGTGTAAGAGATGTCTTTGGTTTGTTTGGAAAGAGTCCTTGATATGATACTGTATAGAACCAAACCACATTTGTGACTATGTATATATACAGAGGTTTTTCATATATAAGGTGTGTTTTTGAAATAAAAAAAAGATTCTGGGAGGAGTCATGTGAGGCCATCAGCCGAGCGAGCAGAGTGTGGGTCGTGCCACCCACTGACCAGTGTGCGCAACATGTGGACACAGGAGTGTGGGTCCCTGCAAAGCCATGGCCTCTCACACACCGTTTTTCTGTTCTCCCTCTCTGTCTTCCAGGAGGTGAAGAGTCAGCAAGTCTTGCTCTTTGCCTTGGAGATTTCCAAGATAATCTTCCAACCCACAGTCTGCTCCATGGAGCAGGATGAGATGTGCTGACGTTTCTTCTTCCAGAAGGTGCACAAGGAGAGTTCTGTGATCAGCAGCCTGAAGGAAGAAGATGGCTCAGTAACATCATCTCAGTCTGACATAATGAGAATCAGAAAATACTTTTATGCCAGACACGAAGCCCATAGATAGATGACAGGAACAGCTGGGAGGCCACACTATCACAGAGGTCTTAGATGACAGTACATAGGAGAGGTTGGACCAGCCGTTATCTCTGAGTGAGCTGACCAAGGCCCTTGAATCCCTTAGAAAATAATAAAACTCCTGGGCTTACGGGCCGAGTTATATTCAGTTCTGTGGGACTTGATTGGCCAGGATCTGTTGGAGGTGTATGACAGTATGCTTCTGGCAGGTACCATGGGCAAATCCATGAGGAAAGGTATCGTTACCCTCATTTACAAACAGAAGGGGGAGAGAAAGGAAATTAGAAATTGGTGACCAATTTCACTGCTGAATGCACACTACAAAATCCTGTCTAAGGTCATCACCAACTGGGTCAGGTCTGCTCTGGGATTGGTGATTCACCCCGACTAAACCTGTGCTATACCAGGCGGGATGATCTCTGAGAGCCTTGCACTCCTCAGGGATACGAACATCTACGAACAATGGGGTGGACTGGCCTCATCAGCCTGGACCAGGAGAAGGCCTTTGACAGGATATTGCACACAAACATGTGGGACATGCTCTCCAAAATGGGGAGGGAATTGGCAACTGGATCCGACTGTTCTACACTAACATTGTTAGTGCAGTCGCAATCAATGGGTGGGATTTAGAAAGCTTCCCAATCAGATCTGGAGTCTTTCTTGCC